GCCTGCCGCCTTCCTCTCAGAACCAATGAACTAGACTTAGAGTAAGGAAGGCAGAGGTAGAAAGGTTCAGTCTCTCAGATACAAGGAGGGTGCTCTCAGACTCGCAGGAGAGGGCCTTGATTCATTGATATGCGTGAGGGCCCCGCAATGGCGGCCAACTTTCAGCAACTTGGTCAAACCTTCGAGGTCAACTGCCGATGTCGATCTCCTTACCGACCCCTCAATTCGCATCATCCACTCTCTCTTTCCCGACTCAGTCCCTCTTCTGGGTCGAAACGCCACTGCACTGCAGGCCGCAATGGTCAACAGCCATCCGCGGTGATATGCAGTAATATGCAACAATCAACAGCAGAAAGCGGGTGCGACAGCTTGTCAGCAGTTTAGCTGCAGCTCGTCCACAGTCAACGAAAATGGCACCCGTGCTCAGTCGATAGCCAGTAGCGTCTGTCTACAGCATCCAGTCGTAGTATGCCACGGTCAGCGGCCAGTTGCAGCAGCCAACCCCTACTCACACTGATCACTTTTAACCAACAGCGACTTGTAGCACACACTCATGCAAAAGGTACAACCCACCGGCACCGTAGTCTGCCTGCGTCGCCTGCTGCCGAACCGGCTGATTGCCACTATAGCCAGCGACCTATTTTCCTCCCCACGATTCCCTCTTCACCCTCTCTTTAACACGGGCTGCTCCCCGAAGCCCCCCCGCGCAGACTTGCATTCCCTACTCGTATAGGCTTGGCCTGCTACAGCAGCCCACTTGCTGGCTTTGCTGCGAACTATTTACCCTGCAGTCTATCTGTTCTTCGACTGCTGGCCTCACGCCACTACCGTCAGTCGGAGTGGTAGCCCACTAGTTAACAACTAACTTAGCCGTTTCGCAGCTCGTCCGCCGGTACTCCAACCCGCGAGGTGAGTGGTATCTGTTTGCCAACGGATTCTCGGTTCGCTGCCCACTCCCTCGCTACTCCGGTGAAATGCCCCACTCCTCGCTGCATACTCTTGGCACGTCTGCGCAGCACGTTTGCCCCCACTCATTCGCTTCCCTTCTCTTCAACTCCTAGCTTTCATTCGCCCGCCTCGTCGTTCGTCCTGTAACCTCGCTACCGCATCTTTGTAAGGGCCTGCCTCCGGTACGACCAGGTTCACTCAAGGTCATGGGGCGAGGGAGAGCACCGTGACAGGCACATACTTCGGAGAGAGGACTCGGACGGCCCACAGGTAAGTCGCTACAATATGTAAAGAGAGAGAAAAAGAAAGGGGAAAAAAGACTGAATCTTGCACTAAAATGAGGAAGAATTCATCGTGGTTTAAATGTTCCCCTAGACTGACTCTAACCCCAATCTGACTTTGGATTCGGGGTCGCCCACCCCGAAACCCCTGTCGACTGTTTTCCCCCGCCCGAATCCGTTCATCAACGAGCGAGAACCCGTTTCCCTCCTGTCGTCTTCTCCTCCTCCATAGCCCGGCGCGGTCATGTTTCATGCTAGCCTCTTTTCTACTAACTTTCCCCCTGAACTAACCATGTCATCGAACTCGCCCCATCAAAAAAACCCCTACCTCAACACTCGGTCCTCCCGATTTTGTCACGGATCGGGTAGGAATCCGCTTCTTCTTCCCCCACCGTCACTCCTCCCGCCATGGCTCGTTGCACCCCCTTTCCCTACTAACACCTATCCTACTGAGTATCTTCTAGAACTAACCCTTCCATTCACTTCGCCCGGGGCAAGAACCGCGGGATCACTCCTTTCCCCTTGCGTTCCCATCCAAGATCGCGAGTATGGGGCGTTCTCCACTGCGCCCGCCTCCTGCCCCCGCCATCTCCTTTCTCGTAGTGAATGCACCTGGCGCGCTATCCGGCMAGGTTCACCCCCTTCCTTCGCCCTTCGTTGCTGCATCCCGCTTCCCGTCTTCTCGCTCCGCCTCCCCTTCCTACGCCAGGCGCTCGGCTCCAACTGCCTCCCCGACCAGCGTTGTTCTCCCATAGCGGCCGGCTATACAGCGCCCGACCCTTTCTCTCCGCCACCTCTTCGAATGCACCCGGACGACCGCGCCGTCCACGTTCACCCTCTTCTTCATGGCTGATACTGCGGCCGGTAGCAGCCGATTTCTCCAGAACGAGGGAGCTGTCCGGACGCTTCGCTACCCTGAGGGAACTTCGACGGGAACCAGCTACTCGACGGCCCGGTGAGTCTATCACCTCTACCCCCGCAGCCTAACGACCGATCACCACAGCAGTATCATTGTGGCCTCCGCAACAGTGCCCCTTTTGCCCCCGTCGTTCGCTACCCGCCACTCCTGCGGTTGCCCCAGCCCCCGTCGCTCTGCCCTTTCTTCATTCCCGGACGCACCCGGCGCGTGTTTGCGTTCGGGTTCAGCCCTTTCCTTCACTGCCCTATCCCGCTGCTGCTAATGCCACGTTGCCCCGCCAGCCTCTCTGCCCCTTCAGCCCGTCAACAGACAAACCTTAGCTTGGCTCCTCATTGCAAGCAGCGGGGCCGAGGGCACGGGCCTGCTATGCACCCAGGTGCGGGCCTGGGTGAGACGGCCTCGGCGTTGACCCCTTTGCGGTGGTAGCAAATATTCAAATGAGAACTTTGGAGCCCGCAACGGAGGGATGTCCAGCGGGCATGCTCACACTCAAACCTCCCACACACAGATCGTGGGCTGCGGYTGACGTACCCACAAAAGGGGCCCCGCCACTCKGTTTTCTCCCGCCTCGTRGGCTAATCACCCACCGGCTCGCATGCACGTTGGACTCCTTAGCCCGTATTCCAAGATGGGTGGGATAGAGGAATTTTGCCAGCATCCCAAACATGCCGGAACCCGATCGAACCGTCAAAAGAGGCGCGAGCCCAAGTCCTTGACTAGTCCTCCTGCCGACGGCCCTTAAAAGTCGGTGCCGTGCCCGGGGCAATCAGCACGTCGGAGCATAGCAGAAATTAATTAAAAATACGACGCTAAAAAGAATTTTCCTAGAAAACGCCACCGCCGACCGAACGCCGCCGACGGCAAAACCGAGGGGGATAGGCCCGCTAGGCCCTCAACCCCTTGGTCCATTCGTGCCATTCTGATCCCCACGTCGTCGCTCGCTCGACCTCGATCCCTGAACCTCCCTAGTAACTGTCCGTTATCGTAACCTATAGGGCTATGCCCAAGCATGGTACCATGGAGCGCGAACTTCCATATGAAGTGGTGTCGCGTCGTGCCTAGGCCTGGAAACAACATCCTAGGCCTTCCTTTCCTACCCGCGGTCGGCGTGCCAACCCCAGGCACCCACGCCGACCTACTTGGACCCCGTTGTGGCCGCCCCGTGCGCCTACCGGCGTGCCAGTCCTACCGTCGATCGCACGCACTAACAAAAAAAAAAAAAAAGTTTTTATCCCATGAGCAAAACACAGCACGGTCCAGGTCGGTCGACTAGACCGACTGCTCACTCAATCAGAAAAATCACACGCGCATCTTAAAACTGCGCGCCCACATACCCCCTAACTTAGTCGGGACGGATCCCGGACGCGGTCGTGCCCCGCACGACTTATTTCAACCAAACCCATTTTCCTGTCATTTGCAAAAACTAGGGCGGATACCCTTGTAAGGGTATTCGCGCCGACAACGTACTGCCTGCTGTCCAAAAAACAAGCCGAGTTCCTTGTTTAGCTGTCGGGCCAGTTCCCGTCCATCACCGCTACCTGGTCTGGGTACATTTATGAAATTCCTCAAATCCTTTGTTATTTCCTTCAGTTCCGAAAAACGAAAACATACATGTCCTTCTTTATCCTTCGACCATTCCATGTCTGCACATATACACTCCGGTTCACCCAATTCCATTCTCGCATATCGTCGATGGTTTCAAATCAGTTCGCCAATGGTCTTGTCTCGTGTCCACACCACCCTCATGCGTCTGCAGACGAATTCAGCTATTACTTTACTCTCGTACGTTTCCCTTACTCTCTTCTTACAACATTTCACTTCGTATCGACTCAGTCCCTCCTCGAATCCGATTCTTACTATCAATCGTTTTCTAACATTCACTCCGTACACTGCTCTGACTGTCCTAGATATGACACCGCGGAGTACCGCCCTCTTCCTCTTCTCTTGAAACTCTCTGACAACATAGTAAAAACGGACTAGCCGGTCCACTGTAAAACTTTTTGCATATAGTGTCTTTCGATACAACGGTATGCGGAGAAGTGCGGTCAGCAGTTGGTGGCAATGGTTATTCTTTGTCATGACCACACACATCACCTCGAAGCTGCTGCCAATTATCTCCCTCAAACGTACGTGCCCGAGGAGAGTCTTTCCCTTTCTCCACAGGACCTCATTCATGCCATACCGTCGTTTTACCACTGACCAATCCTCGCACCATCGTGTGCCTTGGTCTATCTTTACTGTGGTATTCTTCTTACTCTTTGATAAGAACCTGCTCAACAAGTATGCTTTGTAACCACTGGGTTCGATCTGGACAGGAGCCCCGCTCTTGTTTGTTGCGTCTTGTTTGTTCTTGGCCCGCCTTTGTCTCCTTCCTGGGGTGTTCTTCCTGTGCCGCGTTCGCCTTCCCTTGGCGTTCAACATCGGGCAGAAATTCCTGATGTGGAAGCCCTCCAATTCCTGTAGTTCGTCCTTCATACCAATCACCAATGGGATGGCTACATACTCCCGCCATCCCTTCTTTCTCATCCATCGATACAGCTTGTGTTGCCTGCCCTCCTCCTTTGTTTCCGCCATTCTCTTGTGGTCCTCCCACCTTTCCTCCAACGTGCGAGCGGTCTGACCGATGTACATTGCTCTAAAAAGTGGTGAAACCAGCGCGTACACGCAGGATTTGGGTTCAGCAAACCAGGCGTCGTCATGTTCTTCCCACCCTGTCACGCCCTTCATGAACTTGTTTAGCCATGGTATACGCCCTTCTTTGGTCAGCTTAACCACCAACCGCCTTAGCTCGTGTTCGATTAGCTTCCTTTGGTCGCGGTTATCGCTCCTTCTCAAGGGGTCACGACTCCTCTTCATGAAGCGCTGCCAGGTACATGACGAAGTCTGGTGTTCATCGTCATTCGTCATCTTCGATTACCCGGCCATCCGGATTGATCTGTTCGCTGATCCGGATAGGCGGGTCTTCCTTCCTCTTGCCGTACGCAATCTCGGCTCTCGCGCATCGATGAGATCGTCCTTACGGTTGCTCTTGGTCTTCACCTTCTCATCCTTTGCCATCTTCGTAAAAAACGGTACATTCTTGGTCTTGAGGAAACGTTTGGTCTCCTCGACGAACTTCTTCCGTCCTTCTGCTCCTGGCCCGGCTACTACCGCCTTCCTTCCTGGTATGAGCCGGTTGAATCCTAGTGGTTCTCTTTCTTGTTCCTGTGTTGTTCGTCCGACAGGTGCAGTTCTAGAAAACAGTTCATTCGGTCCCATCGTTCTCAAGCCCGATATCGGCGTGTAGGTGCGTGCTTTGGAGGTCGAAGGGGTCTGCTCCGTTGGGGTTCCCTTTGCCTGCGCCGCCTTGAGTCTCTCTATCTCTTCTCTCATCGTTCTCATCTCTTCCCGGTGACGTTGCTCCATATTTAACAGTTCTTGGGTCAGTCTTGCTTCTCGGTCTGGGGTTGTGCTCGTCTTCTTTTCTGCAGGCTCCTCTTCCTCTCGGACCGGTTCCTTGCCGCGCTTCCTTTTGGCGCGCTCAAGCTCGGCTTCTCGTAAGAGTAGCACGTCGCGGTGGATGTCTTCGACTATGATGGGGTTCCTCACGCTGCTAGCCTTCATTTCTTCGACCGCTTCTCGGAAGATCTTGTTCTGGTCCGCCAACTGTTCAATTATCATCTGATAGCCTTGGTCCTTATTCGGAATCTTGGACTCGATAATCATCGCCAGCCTCGCTTCTCGCTCCTCAGCTCTTTGTTGCTTCTCTTGTTCGTGTCTTTCTCGTTCTTCTTTCAGCAATCGCATCTCTTCCTCTCTTTTGCGCCTTTCTTCTTCCTCTTTTCTCCTCTCTTTTTCTTCCCGTTTCTCTTGCAAGATCGTTGCGCAAAACTCACGCATAATCAGGACTGCGTCAATAACCTCCTTGTTCGTCGTTAAGTTATTATTACTATTATTGTTGCTATGGCCAGTGTGGTAATTATTATAATAATTACCATTCCCATTTCTGTATCTATAGTTATTATCACGATCCTGTCGCTCTACCAGCTGAATCGCGCTTGGCCCATTCACCGGTACGATCTGACAATCCGCATTGCTCGCTGAAGTCGACGCTGCGCTCTGCCCGTTTGTGTCTTGTGGTCTTCTTGGTTTGATACAACCGCGCGATAGATGTCCCGACTCCCCACAACTGTAGCACTTTGGGATCTGGTCCGCCATATCCGTACGTAACCACCGCTGATAGGTATTATTCCCTACCTGTTTGTTACGCTAAAAAATGCTAGAACGATTGAGCATTCTGGCGCGCTGCGCACAGAGTGTGCAGTCTAAGTGAAGAATCCAGATTCGTCAGTACTATGATTATAACGATCCGTCAATCATCTTACGGTTTGAAACAACAAAGCGTGATTATCTTCTTAGTTCATTCGTAAGTACTCTATTCCTCACCAGTTCCAATGTCATCACCCTTCTTTCTTATTCAACCCACTTCATCACATTCGCATTCATCAGACCCTCATAGTGACCATAATTCGTTCATCATACATTCCATAATGTCCTGAACATCATTCTACTTAGACTCGATATCAACCCGGACTGATGGCTCGTAAAAGCAAGAGTAACAAGAATCCCTCCAAAAAATAGTTACGATAGATCCAACATGAAGCGCAAAACGAAGAATCCGAAAAACATCGTGAAAGCTCTGTTCGACACGTGAGCAGCGTCCTGCTCTAGTGTCCTGGCAAACGCCCAACGTGTTTTTGCTGCCGCCAGTGCAGCGTCATCAGGGGCGATACTACTTTTGAAAGGCGAGTTCTACCTCTACCATCTTGCTTTTATATTGTTCCAAGTTCCAACTCCAATTCCTACTGCCTACAAAAATTTGAAAACATGTTTCCCACTCGTACATGAAAATTCAAAGATTTAAAACACAAAACTTGTTTCTCCCGCTCGTACATACTTCTGAAAAATTCAAAAATTCAAAACCCGGTTTTCCCGCTGGCGCCATCTGTCCTAGCGTCCTTCTTTGTCTTTGCTCAATTTCCTGGTCCAGTTCCGAAAAAACACTTGCCCACCTCGGCGTGCCCGTTGGAGGGTACAATCCAGGTGCATCAGTGGCTAAACTACTGTTCCGAACCTTGCCGTGTTTGACTCCCCAGTACATGCCTCCGTTCTTTTTCGGAAAAAAAAACATTCCTTGGTCTGTCCCACCTCTTCCGGTAGTACTTCAACCCACTCGTCCCAGGCCCCGTCCTTGGCCTGTGAAAATGATGTCAGTTGTGAGTCGAAAAAGTGCCCAGGGAAATTCCGTTTTCGAAGCTCCATTTTCAGTGCAAGGAGGGTGGGCCCCGCTTGCTCTTTCACCATGGTGTGGTTCCACACTCGGTGTAGATACCTTGTTATCACCGCTTTCTTGGCATGAGTTGATGAATAAGATGTGAAGTCTTGTAGCCCTTGGAAAACAATGTCACCCCCCTTCAATAGTGTTGGCCCGTTGGCCGTAGTCGCTGTGCACAACACTCCGCATGGTTTAATAACGGTCTGATTTTTCTAGCCAGGAAGTGCAAGGAATTCTCTAAAGCTAAGGCGGCGATGCGACAACAAAAGGAAATGTTCATACACAAAAAATTGATAGCCCTGGAATGTCGGGCAGAGTCACAGCATCTCATCTCCTCCATACAAAGAATACAAAGAATTAAAGACCAACTCCTACAATACGCACTACACAGATGGCAAGGAATCAAAATATGAGGGAAAATTACCAGATTCACCCAGGAGGCCACGATGAATACCCACTTTTTCTCAATCGCTACAGCACGAGCACGACGAACTATTATTGAAGCACTGTTTGACCCAAATGATGAGAATATCATAGCCACCGATACCGCTCACAGCACACTTATCACGAGAAAATTCTTTAAACAGTTGTATACCTCCCAAATCTCACCCTCACAAGAGGAAGGAAGAGAAAAAGCATTAGAAGAATTCCTGGTGCCAATGGACAGACACCTTTCCCCACATCAGCGAGATAAACTAGAGGAACCAATGACCAAGGACGAAGTGTGGTCTGCACTCCTCCAAATGAAAGAGGAAAAGACCCCGGACATTGATGGATTCCCTAAGGAATTCTGGGAAGTTATGTGGACTTACTTAAGTGGGGATTTATGAGACTATTACCAGGAGGTATGGGAAGCCAGGGAAATGGGGGAAACAGTGGGAAAGGGCATACTGACACTACTATACAAAAAAGGGGACAAAATGAATATAAAAAATTACAGACCCATCACGCTCTTAACAGTGGTTTACAAAATGCTTTCAAAAGCGCTAGCAAATCGCATGGCGGTTGTCTTGGATGATATCATACACCCGGCCCAAATAGGGTTCATGGCCAGCAGGAATATACATGAAAACATCCTGTTGGTTAACGACGTGGTCCAACCGGCACAAAGAAATCGGTCAAATGCCGCGATTATATTTATTGACTTCGAGAAGGCCTATGACCACGTCGATTGGAACTTTTTAGACAAATGTTTAGAAAAAATGAATTTTGGTCTCGTTTTCCGGCGTTGGGTGAAAATTCTCCACGAAAATGCCACCACCTGCGCGCAAGTCAATGGTTCGGTGGCACCCCCATTTGAACTCCAGCGGTCAATGAGACAAGGGGACCCCATTGCCCCCTATCTCTTCTTGGTCATAATGGAGGCACTGTCGGCTAACCTGAGACACAATAAAGATCTTACACGGATCAGGATTACCGATATCCCAGAGGAGGCAATACCTATCTGTTCTCTTTTTGCAGACGACCTCACTATAATGGTGGAGGCAATGGACTCCAATATGGAAGAAATCCAGAATCTTATGAGCCGTTTCTGCAAAATGTTAGACATGACCGTTAACTGGGGACAAAAGACCATAGGATGGTGGTTACACCACCAGGGGGGAAGGCCACCCGAAAACCTGCGAGTCACCTGGCTCCCCCCAGAAAAGCCTCTTAAGATTTTTGGGGCCCTAGTTACAACTAAGGGTGAACCAGTGAACAATGATGAGTGGCTGACATGACCGGCACAGGCCAAGCTACAAAGTTGGAACAACAAACACACCTCCATCTTTGGGCGGGCTCTAGTAATTAACAATGTAGTACTCGCTACACTCTGGTATAAGGCCATTCTATGGCCCATGAGCAATAGAGGGCTCAAAACATTGAAGCAGCAGTTGGCGACCTTTCTGTGGAGAGGGGACAATAACAACCCCCACGCCATCAGTCGAGTAGCATGGGAATCGGTGATTCAGCCTAAGGCCAGAGGAGGGTTGGGGATTGTGGACCCGGCCACACAGTTCCAGACCCTCACGGTTCGCTGGCTCCAACACATTATTTTCTCATAAACCTCTCCATGGGTTCCCTTAGCCCTAGCGCAAATTGCAGCCCTGGCCCCACAAGTTCCGCCTCAAATCGACCCCCTGGTATGGCTCGAAGACAGATATTGGAAGCTACCTAGGAAATATCGGAATGGGGATCCCCCAGAGAAACAATGGTTGCGCCTCCTGCGTACATGGAGGAAGATTCCCCCCCCGACCGACAGACACCAGACAGATGGGAGGAGATCTTCAGACAACCCTTGTTCGAAAATCGACTGATTACGGACTCACTGGGCCGCGTGAGGTGTAGTTCGGATTCCCCATGGAAGGGTTGGGTGAAACATGGGGTCCGAAGGGTAGGGGATCTTTGGGACACGAAGGAAAGGCGCTGGAAAAACACAGAAAGAATGCGTACATGGTTGCGGTACTGTCACTTCACAGAACCAGCCCTGGAAGAATTCATCGAAAGCTTCCCCCTTCATTGGTACATCACTCTCCAAAAAGGCCCTTACCTAAAAGAAGGGGGCTGGGTAGGACCGCCCAAACATGATAAGCAAGTGGGGCATGTGCACCTCGTCCATCCAACACAAGCACTGATCGAAATCTTCTCTATCCAGGAGGATGATAGCTTACAGTGGGACCAACAACCCTTTATATGGACAGAGAAAAAGGATGTATATCGCATTAGAGTACTTGATGAGGGAAGAGGATGGAGGGCATACCGGCCAACGACCCCAATTGAAGATCTCCCTTTCAACCGTGAGGAATGGAGATGGTCTCAGGAAGCTAGGATCCGTAGGGGGAAGGCAAAGACATTAACATTAGTCAATCTGAAATCTAAATCGGTCTACCGAATGCTCCGGCCCAAACGTAGACTGCGAGAGTTAGTAGAAGACAGATGGTACCACCACCTCAATATAAAGTGAAGGTTGCTCAAACCCATTAGATGGTTCGCTCACTATGGAAAGAGACCGGCCAAAATCTCTGCCCTGCAGTGGCAAATAGAACATCGATGCCTGCCCACCAATGATTGGCTAATAGAGCACACATGCCTAGAACAGCAGGGACGAGCATTACCGTGGTGCCACAAATGTCTCCAGTGCTACCCCGGGCGGAAGCGCGCTGAGACAATAGAACACATCTTCCTCCAGTGCCCGGCGGCGGTATTACTGTGGAGAAGCTGGGATAGGATTTGGCGGCACATTGTCCCGGCAGCGCTGTGGCCCTGGGACTGGAGGGCCATACTCCTAGGGTACTACCCCCAGAGCCAAGGGAACACTTTTGAGGAAAATATGTTTTACCTAGGAAGACACACTGTCCTATGGGTCATATGGTGGAGGAGATGCACCCTAGAGGTGGAAGGAGCAAGGGTGGAGGATGGAGAGGCCACGGAACACTTACGGCTATTAGTACAGCACGAACTCACAGCCCAGTGGAGGGCGACAAAAGACAACTCGACCAAATGCATACCCGGGGAGATATTCACCGAATCATCTCCCGCTTTGGCAAAGACTGGTTGGGAGGGGAAAGGGGGGGATGGGTGGCGGAGGTAAGGTGGGCCAGGGATCAGCAATTGGAGAGAGATCTGCAAGTGGAACACCCGGTAGAGATTGAAAGAGATTATCGGTTGGTTTTTCACGATTGGACTAAGGTAGATCA